AATTATGGCTCATCATAGACTAGCTAACCACAAAGCTAGCTAACGCCACTATCATCAGTCTGTTTTGTTGTGACAATAAAAGAAACAAGTTTCTTTTTAAAATGCATTATCATATTATTTTAGTTAAAACTCATAAATAACCACAAATAACTAATGTTAGGGAAATCTGTTAATGTTTTGTTGCGCATTTCTGAAAATAATAGTTAAAAAAAAAAATATCGGCCGATATATCGGATTTTAAAACCAATAAATATTTGTATCGGACTCTAATAGGTGCCCTGCCCTTTAATGCTAAATTCTGTAGTATCCCTTTAAGGTTTAATGGTCGAATACACACACTTATTTGCCAAAATGCCCAAATGTTTACTTGTCTTCTATAACTTACGTTAGTATGACTGACATTAGTTTTTGTGATGATTAAATTGGTTGCAAGAATAGTAAAGTTTCAGTGGTTGATGTTAATATAATCTTGTTTAAAGTAAAAATAACTACAGTAATAGATAGGGGTGTAACATCTTGTCACAATATATCGCAATACAAAAAAAGTGAATAGTGACGATATGTATTGCGTTTAGTTCACCCAAAATAAAATTTACCACGCGAGAAAAAAAATCACGTTTACATAGTTAGTGTACTGCATTAAACTACTGTTGAATATAATGATGCGCTGAGGGAATATTTGTGTCCTGATAATGCCAAATGTCTGATATTACCAGTAAAACAAGGCCTACATAATATTAAATACATCTAGTCAGAGTGAAATCATGTTCGTCTAAAATAATTGTGTATTTTCAGCTTCAGAATCATGAATATTGTTATTCTGGTGTCTCTATCGTCCTGTGCTTTGGGTTTCAGCACCGAGACTATTCATTTACACACACAACGTAATTACAATTTAGCATTTTAATCTTTAATATTTTACCATGTCTTGGAGTTTCGCAAGTTCAGGATCGTGAAATACATTGAATCGTGACCTGAGGGATCGTTACACCCCTAATAGTCATTTAAAGTGGATAAAAAAAAAGAACTGGTATTGTTCAAAATTCATGTATAACTTTAATGGAAGGTTTTGTTGATTTACTGTGTATATCATGATATATATTGCTAAACCCAATTTAAAAATAATTATAAACAAAAGATACTTAAAGTCTATAAAGAAGAATGTGAAAACTAATAGAATTATTACAATAATTATGCTTTTGTTGCTATTTTGGTTGTTGGATCTGTCATTATTTTATCTTTGTTGGTTTTGTTTATTTAGTATCATGTAAGCAGAATTAGTATTAATAGATAATAATAATAGACAAAGAGAGAAAAATGTGTTCTAATTGAAGGTAGATTATATCTGATTTGGGCTTGTCGTATGTATGTGTATATGCATGTATATATATATATATTTTCCTTTAAGTTTTCTGTTGTTTGTCATTTTATGTTGGTGAGGTCATCTAATTTGTGAATCTTGTTTATAAGGAGCTTATAAGATGTTTTTCTTCATCCTACTCCTGTTCTTCTTTGTCATGGAATGTACTTTGTGTTGGTTGGATTTGTTAAATTGTTCTTGTGGTATTTCGTGTTGCATTACCATGAAAAGAGAATAGAAAAATAAATGAAATGAAATGAAATCATGACTCCTATTGGACATTTTTACCCACCCTAGTTGCAATAGATTCTGGAGGTTTCCAGATAATTCTGACGTTGTCCAGACCTTTCAGGTTAGAAACATCTTGCACAATGACATTTGCTTATGTGGACTTGCAGTTTATTGCATTTATGGATTTTGAGCGGTCAAAACGCTATCGATTATGGTGTGTGAGGGAATGCAGGTGACATGAAGCGTACGAACCCGAGGGTTGCTGCTCGTTTACGAGATGATTGATGATTGGGTGAATCTGCTCGTCCCTTTGACCGTCCTAAATGTGCCCTCGGCGAGGTCAAACACGTGTTGCCTCGCTAAAAATAGAGGCGCACGCTCTCGCTCTGTCTTTAAACACGTGTACAGACGCTCACACCCAACGTTTGATATTTTTTTAGATTAATGCCAAATCATTCTTCAAATCTGTTTGAAACCCTTCCCTCATCAAAATAACAAGCTTGAATCACAGATGGTGGAGAATTAAAACCTGGAAGTCTTTGCATGAGTCTGTTAATTGATGTTTGCAGTGTTTTATGAGAGCGATTTATGCCTGACTGAAGACGTATGGCCGGGTATCGAGTTTGATAATTATTAGTCATCCCCAGTCAGGTGAAACATACAAAATCAATTCATTTATTAATTGCAACACCACCCATGTGATCTATCTACATTCTGAAATGTCCATGCGGGTTGGTATATGTAGGAGTGACTAAACGACCCCTCATAATTCGCATTGCAGAACACAAAGCAGCAATTCGGAATATGCAATTGAGAGGCATTATGGAGAAGTTAATCATAGCTCAAATGCGTCCTTAATTTTGGGGTGTAGAGAAAAAAAAAGTCCCTATAGGTGCTCTGGATCTTCACTCACAGTAGACCCTCACGGCCTGCATGAGGAACTGGACCTCTCATGGTTTTTTTATAGTGTACTTGTGTTTGTTTATCCCTAAAACCGTATTCTGGACAAATGTGGGCAAAATAGTTTTGATTTATTTTTAAAAAATACTTCCCTTGATCTGAGCGGTACAAGACTTGGCTACTTTTCCTAAGTTTGCCTCCTAAACACACATTTTTTTTTTTACTCAATTCTACAATGTGAAGTGGGTGAAAAAAAACTCCTTAATCTTGTATTTGGTTCAAAAATGGGCACATATAGAAATGAAATGAAATGAATGGGAAAAACTGTAATTTAGAGCATTCTAAAATAAACCAAAATAACAGCAATAGTCCCTTCATCTTTATGTTTTAGCTCTAAGAACTTATTAGAATGATATTTTAATGTAGTTTAAAAAAAATAAAACTTAAAAATAAGCATAATTTACATTGAAAATATGGTACTTTTTAAAGTAAATGAATTCCAAAATACCCCCAAAATAAAAAATAACACCAGAAATGGATAGACAAAACTTTATCGAAGACAGTGATATAACATTTATAATAAATAAAAATTAGGATCACACCTGAGTCACATTTGTCCATATATATATATTTTGTCTAGATCTTTTTGATTCCTTTAAAGGAGTAGTTCACTTTTATAATACTTTTGCTGATAATTTACTCACCCTCTTGTCATCCAAGATGTCCATGTCTTTCTTTCTTCAATCGAAAAGAAATGAAGGTTTTTGATGAAAACATTCCAGGATTTTCTCCATATAATGGACTTCAATGGGGTCCAAACGGTTCAAGGTCCAAAAGACAGTTTCAGTACAGCTTCAAAGGGCTTTAAACGACACCAGACGATGAATAAGGGTCTTCTCTAGTGAAACGAGCAGTCATTTCATTTAATAAATAAATAACAAAGTTTAAGTTTTATAAGCTCAAATGCTCGCCTTGCTCTGTTCTGTGATAAGCGTTTGTACGTGACTCTCCTGTTCATCAAAATGAACAAATCTTTTTTCAAGTCATTTGGTTCATTCAACGAAAGAAATCATAACGAAAAAAGATTTGTTCATTTTGATGAACGAGTTCGAACAGGAGAGTCACGAACGTGCATCACAGAACAGAGCAAGGCGAGCATTTGTGCTTATAAAACTTAAACTTTGTTATTTATTTATTAAATGAGCGATCGTTTCGCTTGATAAGACCCTTATTCATCGTCTGGAACCGTTTAAAGCCCTTTGAAGCTGCACTGAAACTCTCATTTGGACCTTGAACCGTTTGGTTCCCATTGAAGTCCATTATATGGAGAAAATCCTGGAATGTTTTCATCAAAATTTGACTGAAGAAAGAAAGACATGGACATTTTGGATGACATGGGGGTCAGTAAATTATCTTTTGAAAAGTGAACTACTCCTTTAAATCCGTCTCGAATGTGTTTAGAGGGCATATACACCCGGTCTTTTCATGATCGTATTGCTATCCCATCAAAGAAAACGCATGAAGTGTCCAGGTGTAACCCAGCTAACAATTTTACGTTCTGGAAATGTTCGTTTTTGGTTCCCAGAACGTTCCCTATTGGTTTTCTGAACGTAAATAGAACGTTCCCTTATCGTTACGCCGCCTTCACACTGGCAGTTGAAATCAGCTCCGATGCGGCTGCGAAACGACCGGAAGTCATTCATTTCCTATGGAGATTCGCAGACCGCATGCGAATGGGTCCGAAACGGGTCCGACCGAGTGCGGTGCGAAGAAAATCGTGTCCGTTGGTCATCCGGATGCGTTCAAAAATTTGAACTCGTGCGAAAAGCTACGGACGGTTCCTATCCGACAATTCCAGCGGAAGTTGAGCGTTGCTATGGTACTGATAAACAAACCTGAATTATTAACTTTTAATAAAATAAATAATGATTTTATAACGATAAGTTGTCATGTCATTTTTTATTTTCATGACTTTCTAACGTTTATAAGGGCAATTAGAAGGTAGACATTGAACTATTGACCACTATATCACATTTTTTAGCCGACCTGACATGTCAACGTCCTGAGCAACTTTCCTTTACTTTAACCCTAATCAGAGAGAGATCATACAGAACTGACAGAATCAAACTTTAATCTCTCCGCCATTTTTGTTCTACCCGCGTCCGACGCTTTTCACTGTGTAGTACGACGTCCGTTGGGAACGTATTGCGTATTACGGAGCTGATTTCAACTGCCAGTGTGAAGGCAGCGTTAGGGGAAACTTTATGGAAACGATCCCTTTAGGTTATAAAAATAGTACCTAAAAATAGCCTACAAAGAACATACTTGTTTGGTTCCCAAAAAATAACCATATGGGAATGTTCTGTGTTGGGAAACAGCCCCTTAGACTCTGAAATTAACTTATTAACAGCTTCAGTAAAGCATTATTAGATGTTAAACCCTCAACTTTGTTTTTTTTTTTTTTTGCTGTTTTATGAAAAAATAACGTGTCCGTTTCTCTTTCCTGAAG